AAGGAAGGAAGGAAGGAAGGAAGGAAGGAAGGAAGGAAGGAAGGAAGGAAGGAAGGAAGGAAGGAAGAAGGAAAGAGAAAGAAGAATATGGAGGAGAAGCAAGTAAAAATAGGACACTTGATATACATTTGTGACATAATAGGTTTTTAATCAACTGATATGGTACATATATATAAGACCTTATATTTTTTCATTGTATCTTGGAAGCTCTCATGTCTTATGATGTATGTGTATATACATATATAGAGAAATATATAAATATACATATATATTTTGTTTTGTTTTGTTTTGTTTTGTTTTTCTTTTGAGACGTTTTCTCTGTGTAGCCTTGGCTGTCCTGCAGACCAGGCTGGCCTTGAACTCACAGTGATGCACCTGCCTCTGCCTCCCTGAGTGCTGGGATTAAAGGCGTGCACCACCATGCCCAGCTGTTATATACTTTATACGTTGTCATTATTATGCTTTGTTGTTGAAGGAGCTTTAAACTGCAAAGCGAAACAGAAAACTAGAAAGTCTTCTTAGTTTGTTCTCAATATTATACAGAATATATCTGCACAATTGTATTATGTTTCTCCCTTAAAGCTATTATATTAGCCACACCACTCATAAACTCTTTAATCTTTATGTCTTTATTCATAGGACAATGTTTACAACTGTAAAGCAATAGTCTTTATGTATTTTGCATCCAACTTATAAATATGTCGTTTATAACATTTGTGTAGGTCTTCCTAGCTAACTTTGCTATAATTGAATGGTTTAAATTTTGGCTGTTTTAATCTCTGCCCACTTGAGATTATCACCCACATGGACACATTTCCATACCTACAGGCATCAATGCCCTCTGCTTCATTCTACAGCTGTCAGTGGTACTCTTCAAAAAGGTCCTGAAAACTGGAGATTCTAGCAATGATACAATCATGGTATAAGAAAATAAATCATATGACAAAGTCACAATGTGGAAGTGAAGGATGAAAAATAAAATTCCTTTATGAGTATATGACAATACATCTTTCCCCGTTATTGAAATAATGGCAATACGGCAATTTGAATCCAAATCAGAAATTAATATACTGACCAAAAAACATTCACCAAATTTGCTTTATCTGTAATTTTAAGTTTCCTTCCAGAAGAAATGTTTGCAAATATTCACTACTAACTTCCTGTCTTCATGACATAGACGCTGAGATAACATACCTGCAAATCTGTAAGAATTATAAATATAAAAGGGAAAAATAAATGTTTTGTGCCAGCAAAGTACCTAGGGTTTGAACAATGCTACTTTGAAAGCAAAGGTGACCTAGGACTCTGGAAAGCCTTTAATGGAATTTCTTCTTGTACAGAATATTTCACATTTCTAAATAGTTGACCTTAATTGCAGAATAAAGAACTCACTGGAGAAAAACCTTGGTGTATGTAAAGGATCGGTAAGATAACCTTAAAGAAAACTGCACACAGCTTCCTAGTTCTTGGGAAGTCAGAAGCTGACAGCAGTCACGTGTTTCATAGAAACGTTTGCAAATAGGGTCATGTTGGGTTTCAAGAATAGTTCCTAAATCATGGTGTTAAATAAAATTGTTCAAGTGGCATATTATTGTATGTTTTACATGTGGGAGCATATAGGCTGGAAATTTATATACTATGCTATTAGCTATATGAAAATGAGATTAAGAAAAACTACATCTACTTTTCATGGTGAATACTCTGGAGTCACTGTGAGGCAGATGAATGAATGTATGTACAGGTGGTCTGTATGTATGTGTTCATATATGCATACACATTAATATGTGTGTATGTGTTGTATAGATGTGTGCATGTGAAATTGGATGACACAATGAAACTGAGTTTAATGGCTTTTAAATTATTTTTAGCTTCTCTTCTCTCGGCTAATACGAAGTTGTATTTTTGTTTCTTTTCCTTTACACCATGAGAATTGTCTAAAGAAGAGAAATTTAAGTTCTATAATATGTAAACATGGACTGTTTAGTCTCATTTGCATTTTTCAGGTGAACAAATAAATCCAGAAAAAAAAAGTGCCTCATCACATATGAACTGGGGAAAGATAAGAACAACACAATATAGAAGACATGCATTGTCCTTTAAACATATTCCCTCTGTTGTTTTATTTATGCAATCATAAAGCCATTTACTACTTCTCGAATATGAAACTGCATTTCAGTTTGGGAGTGTGAACACTGAGAGAGTTAGCTGACTTAGTGGAGAGAACGCCATGATAAACTTGAATGGATCACATACCAGTCGCCCAGTTTTCATTCTGACAGGCATCCCCGGGATGCCAGACAAGAACCCGTGGATGGCCTTTCCCCTGGGATTTCTCTACACACTAACCCTCCTGGGAAATGGCACCATCCTGGCAGTTGTCAAGGTAGAGCAGAGTCTCCATGAGCCTATGTACTACTTCCTCTGCATCTTGGCGATGACTGACGTTAGTCTCTCCATGTCAACCTTGCCCTCTATGCTAAGTATCTTCTGGTCCAATGCCCCTGAGATTCCACAGATTTGTGGCTATCCGAGACCCTCTGCATTATGCCTCCATCCTCACTCATGGCCTCATTGGGAAGACTGGACTGGTTGTTTTTGCCCGGGCAGTCTGCGTGGTCTTCCCTGTGCCCTTTCTTATAAAGCGGCTGCCCTTCTGCCCTTCTGTCGTTCCAATGTTCCAATGTTTGACCTCATTCATATTGTCTTCACCAAGATGCAATGAGACTAGCCTGTGCCCGCACCCGAGTCAACAGCCTCTACGGCCTCATCGCTGTCATCCTCACATTAGGGCTCGATGCTCTCATCATCCTCTTCTCTTACGTACTCATCCTGAAGACAGTGCTGGGCATTGCTTCCAGAGCCGAGAGGCTCAAAGCCCTCAACACCTGCCTCTCTCACGTCTGTGCAGTGCTTCTCTTTTATGTCCCTCTCATTGGTGCCACCATGATCCACAGATTTGGGAAACACTTATCACCAATTGTGCACATGCTCATGGCTAATGTCTACCTTCTCCTTCCCCCTGTGCTAAACCCCATTGTCTACAGTGTGAAGACCAAGCAGATACGCAGACGGATCAGCCAAGTGTTCCAGCGGAGAAAGAGCAGAGCTTAGTCAAATGGAATCAAATGTAAAATAACAATTAAGTTAACACTGGAGTGATTCATATTTCCACTTTCAACCACTATGACACAATCAAATTTTGAAATCTGATTACAATAGAGTGTAGGAGTGAACAAGGCTAGAGGCAAAGACAAAATGCATCATTTTCTTATGTTTGTATTTAATCTCAGGAAGCATGTATTTTGCTATCTGCTATCATAAGTCAAATTTAATTTGATGATATACTTTTGTCTACAAATTAGACATGAGCACCAGTAAAGACAGGTTATTAGTTTACAGATAAGATAATCCTTATGAGTATTTTCTTTATTTTTCTATTAGTTCTTCGAGAATTTATTCTTATAAGATTAAGTAATATTTGATGTATAGGTTAAAATAGTTAGGTCAAGAATAATTCAATAAATACCACAATGCTACTGAATAACTGTATGTATAAAATATTATATTTTTAAGTAGAGAGAATGGCACCACACAACAACTCAATTACCATTATGTCTAGGTATTTATTTATGTATTAAAGTAGGTCTGTGAAAAAATAATTTATACACTCTATTCTTAATACACATCTTTTCTTTTAAATGATACGGCTTTAGTTTTCCTTCACACATATAATACAACGATTCTTTTGACCTACCAAGACTGTTGCCAATTTTATTGTGTACTGGGGTGTTTTTAAATTTTTTTTAATTTTAATTTTTTCCACGATCTATTCATTATATATCCCTATTGAAGCCTCCTCCCTCAACCCCTCCCAGTCCTACCCTTCCTCCATCTCCCCCCATCCCCACCTTCCCCCAGTCCACTGGAAGGGGGAGGTCTCCTCCTTTACCATCTGCCCAGAGCTTGTTAAGTCTCATCAGGACTGCCTGGATCCTCTTAAGGCCATATCACCAGGGGCAACTGATCAAAAAACAGGCAACCAAGTTCATGACAGAGGCAGCCCCTGCCTCCCTTACTGAGGGACCCACATGGAGAATGAGGTGCCTATGGGCAGAGGGTCTAGGTCCTCTCCATGTATGGTCCTCTGTTAGTGCATCAGTCTCTGCAGGACCCCCTGGGCTCAGATGTTTTAGATTTGTTGGTCACCTTGTGGGGTTCTTGTCCCCTCCATGTCCTTCTACCCCCACCCCCCACTTTTTCCATAAGACTCCCTCCTCTTTGCCCAAAGTTTGGCTGTGAGTTTCTGCATCTGTTTTGATCCCCTGTTGGGTGGAACCTTTCAGAGGTGCCTCTATAGTAGACTCCCATCCTGTTTCCTCTCTTCCACTGCTTCTGGTGTCTGTCCTGTTTTCCCTTCTGAATGAGATTTAAGCATCCTCCCTAAGGTCCTCCTTAGTTTTCAGCTTCTTTACGTCTATAGATTTTAGTATTGTTATCCTACATTATACAGCTAATACCCACTTATAAGTAAGTGCATACTATGGCTGTCTTTCTGTTTTGGGGTTACCTCACTCAGGATGAACTTTTCTAGTTCCATCCACTTGCCTGCAAATTTCATGAGTCCCTTGTTTTTAGTAGCTGAGTAGTATTACACAGTTGTGCTGGAGTTTTTGATAAACGTTGGCTGAGTAAAGGCACTTTGAGGGTTTGTGGAAGCCAAGTGGGAGTGCCGAGCGTAAGTAAGAGATCTGGGATGGAGTGTACCCATTAGATAAATATGTAAAATGTTATTGCATTTACGCCAATATCTGTTTTAATAATTACTGTCAGTATCAGACAACTAATTTGTTAGTTCACTTCGCCCTCAATTAATATGCATTTAATATTAAGAAATCCCAGTAATTATAGTAGGCCCCAGGGATACAAAGAAGCATACACTATTTTCTGCTCAATCCTGCAATATTTCTCTACAATTAAGTGTGCTCAGATGATTAAATGCAAGCAAAGCCATATTAGAATTTTGCATTTAATGTGTTGGTGGTTCAGTCTCTGTGAGCCCCAATGGGCTCAGGTTAGTTGACTCTGAAGGCTTTCTTGTAGAGCCCTTCACCCCTCCAGCTCCCTCAAAAATTTTCCCAACTCTTTCATGCGACTACCCAAGCTCTGTTAGAGTGAGGTAACCCATACCCAGAAAGACACACATGGTGTGAACTCTCGTATAAGTGGATATTAACCGTAAAGTAGAGATAGCCATGCTACAATCCGCAGACCCAAAAAGCTAAGTGACAAGGAGGGCCCAAGGGTGCTTGAATCTCGATTAGAAGGGGAAATAGAATAATTTTTAGAGGTGGGTGGAGGGAAGGAACTGGAAAGGAGAGGAAAGGGGGAAAGCAGTAGGGGGTGCGATTAAGAATGGGGAGAGGAGTAGGGAGGGAGGGTTCGATGAGAGAATGGAAATCAGAAATGAGGAGCAGCTCTGAGACATTCCAGAGACCTGGGATAGGGGAAGCCCCAGGAAGTCTATGAGGAACACCTTAGCTGAGACTCCTAGAAATGGGGAATATGAAGCCTGAAGTAGCCACTTCCTGTAGATAGACAGGCTGTCCAGTGGAAAGATAAGGACGCCAACCCACTCACAAAATCTTTGGCCCAAAATTTATCCTGCCTACAAGATGTGCAGGGACAAAGATAGAGCAAAGATTGAGGAAATGGCCAACCAAAGACTGGCCCAACTTGAGACCCATCCCATGAGAGAACCAATCCCTGACCCTATTAATATTACTGTGCTATTCTTATAGACAGGAGCCTACCATAACTCCTCTGAGAGGCTTCACCCAGCAGCTGATAGAAACAGACACAGAGATCCACAGGCAAACATTACACAAAGCTATGGGAGTCCTGTGGGAAAGTGGGGGGAATGATTGAGGGAGGCAGAGGGCCAAGGACTGCACTGGAAGACTACAGAGTCAACTAAATCTGGGCCCATGAGAGCTCACAGAAACTGAACCACCAACCAAAGAGCATGCATGGACAAGTTCTAGGCCTCCTGCACATATGTAGCAGATGTGCAGATTGGTCTTCATGTGGAACCCCCAAAAATTGAAGTGTGGCTACTTCTGACCCTGATGTCTCCTTTGGATCCTGTCCCCCTAACTGGGATGCCTTGTCTGACGTCAGTAGAACATGCACTTACTTCTACCAATGTGGGTTGGGGCCTTCCCCTTCTCTGAAGAGAAGAAGAAAGGAGAATGGGTGTGTGTGATGGAAGGACATGGAAGAGAGGGGGGCTGTAATCAGGATATAAACTGAATAAATAAATAAATTAAAAAAATAAAAGTATAACAGGGAGGGAAAAATAAAACTAACCTTGAGTGTATTATAAGCCATTTTATTTGTTAATAACAACAGATATATCAGACAAAGGTAGGAAACTAGTAAGGGACCACAGAGGGGTCTCAAGGGGAGACAGACAGTATGTGGTATAAATAGGAAGAGTGGTAATAATGGAACAGGCTAAGTTAACTTGGATAAGGATTGGAAAACAACGTAGGAAGGAGTCTTGCTAAAGATAACTAAGACTAAAAGCCTTTGAAAAGACCATATAGGAATCTACTATTGTAGAAGTTTCTGTAAATATATACATATACACACATACACATAGATATGCATGGAGATTTAATTAGACTTGTCCTGTCACAGGAGAGTAATGCTATTCCCAGGCACTAGGGGTATCAAATAAAAACCCAGTACCAGGTGTGTTTTACATGAGGACTCCCATGCACCTCCCAGGTATTACAGGCTATTTACACTGTTCTCGGGTCCCTCCAAAACTTGACAGTAAGTTCGTATTACTGAACATAGCCCCTATGTGAGTCATACGATGTGGAGAGACCAATCTGTTACTGATGTGGAAACGTCATCCGTGCTAGCTGGCTTTGCATACACACTACCAGGCAAGGAAAACCATCAACAATCATTTTCAGTCATGAACTCTGTGAACCACTACCATGACTGGCTGACAAGAAATGTCTACCAGAACCACAGTGGCGTGAATGCTAGAAGAGTAACCAATCATGTTGGACTTGAAGCCTACTCCACAAGCCAGAGTCCATACCTGGTATGAAAAGCCCAAGGCTGTTTGATCATAAGTCCCAGGGGAGAACCTAATACTATAATTCTGGTAAATGGAAATGACACTAAAGTATCACCTAAATTCTTATCTTTATACCCATAGGTTAGTGAGTATCTTCCAATGCTCAACAGAGAAACTTCTTGGTGGTGATTAATACTGGTTCTTGACTCTGACCAGAGAAATAGGCAGGCTAAATGCAGATCTTCTCTTCATCTCCTTCCAGTCCCCCAGTCTCATTCTCAGCTCCACAGAAGACAACCAACTATGGTCACCTTCTCACCCTGCACCATCTCCAGTGGATTTCACAGCGCTTGCCTTTCTAACCTCTCCTCCCCTACTACTTCCTTTGTTTGCATCTCAAGCAGGAATCCCCTGGGAACCCACAGCCTACTCCAGAGAAGACTTCCTGAACAGAACAACATTAGCACAGACACTAAGATCAACACTTAGTAAATGGCACCTGAGGAAACTGAGAAGCTTCGACAAGGCAAACTAGACTGTCATTTGCAAAGAGCAGCAGCCTACAGAATGAAGAAATGTTTTTAGAAATTCCATATCTGATAAATTACTAAATTCTGAAACATATAAAGAAACTAGATATCTTGTTCATGATAATCAAGTGTATTTTAATGACTTCCTCTTTTTTTCTCTGTTTAGCCCTATATCCCATTTTATTATTTTTTTATTTTTTATTAATTACTCTTTATTCATTTTGTATCCCCCCTCTCCTTCCTCCTCCCCTCTCCATCCCACCCTCCCTCCCTTTTCTGCATGCATGCCACTCCCCAAGTCCACTGATAGGGGAGGTTCTCCTCTCTTTTCTGATCTTAGTCTATCAGTTCTCATCAAAAGTGGCTGCATTGTCCTCTACTGTGGCCTGGTAAGACTGCTCCCCCCCTCAGGGGGAGGTGATCAACAAGCAGGCCAATCAGATTATGTCAGAGACACTCCCTCTTCCCATTACTATGTAACCCACTTG